AATTATAATTATATTTCATACGTTTTTGTAAGGATTAAACAAGATGTATATGTGTCCAGCATATTGGGGAGGTCAATGAAAGCTAACTCTGCTATTGAACAGCATCTAGCAAAGCACTGAGACAAAGAAAGGACTCAGATGTTTTTCTGTTGATATGCTCCACCTATTGATTACTTTCTGCTTAATAAGACTTGATCATTTACACATCAGTAGCGATCTTTTTCTACAAAGTGCTTTATTGTGATTCTCCAAGCTACCAGTGAGAAAAGTCAATTTTATTGCCATATTTTAGAGATAAGGCATCTAAATCCAAGAAACTTCAGGAAATTATGCCAGGGAACCAGATGTGAATCTTTTTCTATAAAATGAGCCAAGAATATTTTCCAAGTTTCAAAAACTTTATCCGACTGGTCATTTCCCCACATACGCAAATGTAATAGTGCAACCTGTCCCAAGGGCCACCAGGCAAATGTCCAATCCCCTTTACTTTGACCTCAATGAACGATACCACATTGGGACTTGAAAACTTCTCCATTCAAGCTCCTGCTCCTGCATTCTCTGCTTCACAGCTTCAGAGATTTCTCTTGAGATGCTGATTCGTACTTTAAAAAAACTTACACTTGGAAGGCTTGCCGCAATATTACACGATGATGTAATTATTTACATAGTCTCAGCTGAGCTTATAGAATCCAAAAGCTTTAAAATCTATATCTATAGTTATAGATTTAGACAGCACTCCCCACATCACTTACACGCGCGCGCACACACACACACACACACACGCACACACATCCTCCTCAAATATTTCCTTTAAGTTCCAGACCATTTATTGATGTAACTGTGCTCTCTCTATTCTGACATTCTTGAAGCAGCCCTAGTGAAGCTCAAGACACGTGATGTGTGAGCAGTTCAGACAAGAATAAAGACTAAACTCTAAAGGTGATCTCATGCGTTCAGAATTATGCCTTCAAGATGGCTTTAAATATAGCATTTAAATATAGCAAACAAAATACAGCATTTAGAAAGAATTTTCTTTACCCAATATTAATTAACATAACAATAATTATTTTCACTTTTATTATTAACAATGCCAGTTAAGTCAATGAATTTTTTTCATGCTATTTCTTCTTTTTAATTTGGGAATATAACTATTTTTAAAAATATATATTCCATAAATGATGGTAATAAATTATGAACATTACTTAGAATAAAGGAAGCCCTGAACAATATATTGCCCCTTTTAGGTATTTAATTTGTGGAATTTTTATATAAGATGAATTTAACAACTCCTGAAAAGTGAAAAATAACTTCCGTTTTTAGTTTTTGTGCTTGTATGGTCTAGGTCAGTGACCATAACAAGAAGGTAGCTTGGAAGGGGGCTTTATTTAGCTCTCTCGTAACCATCATCAAGCTCCCGCCATAACTACCCCAAACAGAATGGAACTAAAGTAGAACACTGTGTATGCTAGTCAAACTCAGCTTCAAAACAAGTCCCCAGGCTGCGTCATCCAACAACAGATGTTGTCTCAAAGCTTTTTCTATCTTGACAGTCTAGAGACATCACTTGTCCTAATATCTCTGTATTTATATCCTCACGATATCCACCATTTTGCCTTTTAAGATTTTGTATCATAGTTTAGACATAAGAGCATGGAGATGGGAAGCCCACACGCTCATGCAGTCATATACACACACACGCACAAGCATAAAACAAGCCGTTTTGCACAAAGGACTCATTTGCATAAAAGTACTAGACCAGTGGCCTGTATTAGGATCTTAGTCGAGCTACATAATTTTTCTGGGCCTCAATTTCTCTGCCTATAGAATGAGGGAAGTGATAGAGCCGATCTCAGAAGTCCTTTGCAATGCTCAGAGTCTCAGATTCCTGGTTTCATCAAATATCTGAATCCATATTGCTTATCATCACTTGCTACTTGATCCTGTATGCCTGAGTCGTTTTTGTTGTCTTTAGTAATTTTTGCAGAGGAAGTGAGACCCCCTTAAAGAGCAAGATAATTATAGAGAATGGAGTCTAGATGTTATCAGAGTCAGTAGAGTCCACTGGCTCTAAACTCCTCCCCTCATCATCTCACCGCCACCACCAAATTAAGAGCTGTCTGGGGTGGAGACAGCCTGCAGTCACACCCAGAGGGAGAAGCTGGGTGATTCTAAGAAGCAAACCACTTAGGCTTATCTCAAGTCACTTTCTTCCTTCCTTTACTCATACTCACAGCAGAAACAAAGGTAAATGTTTTAGAAGGAAAGATCTTGGCCATGCTCTCTCTTTCTCTCTCTCTTTTTTTTCCCCTCACACAAGGGATTTCTCTGGAGAAGGGAAGGGAGTGCAAAACAAAGCAGCAAAGGACTTGGAACAGTCTATGTGAGGACTCCCACCAGTGCTAGGAAATGCCAGTTCCTTATTAGCTGCAGTTCAGCTTCCCCTGCAGGTGCTACAGACACATGGTGTGTGAGCAGGGGCCACCCTGAGCACCTGGGCCCTAGCTGAGCCCCGAGGGACTGGGCACCTGGCTACAGTCTGTGATCCTTGTGGGGAAGGGCTCCCTGGCAACTTGGCCCACAGGAAAGCAAGACTCAGGGTCAACAAACACACACCCCCATAAGTAGATCTAATTATGACCGCTTACTTCAAAAAA